GGGGTTTGGGGTGTTTCTGTGTGAAGAGCTTAGGGTTTAGGATTTCCGATTTAGGGGGTTGTCTGCTGGGGTCTTAGGATTCAGGGTGATTCAGGGCTTAAGAGTTCTAGTTTAGGGTATGTTCCTGGCTCTCAGTCTTGTCGGAGAGGATGTAGTATTGTTAGGATTTCACTCAACCCGAAGCCTTAATGACACTAAACCTTAAACCCCCAAAAAAGCCTGATCGCTAAACTCTGAACCCCTAAACCAACAAAAACCCCAAACAAACCTCTCAACCCTGGGGGGTTCCGAATATTGGGGTACCTTGTTTTGGGGCCCTTATACTAAGGATCCTACTATTCATGGTGTTGGGGTGATAGATCAGGGTCCCCTATTTGCGGAAACTCCCACATCTTGCAGGCATGGCCTTTGGCCAGAGGCGAAGGGACCCGGCGTGGCGCTGCCGGGATCTCGGGGCGAAGAGCCGGTAAAAGGTGTAGGGTTTAGGGTTTAGGGTTTAGGATTTAGGGTTTAGGATTTAGGGTTTAGGATTTAGGGTTTAGGGTTTAGGGTTTAGGATTTAGGGTTTAGGATTTAGGGTTTAGGATTTAGGGTTTAGGGTTTAGGGTTTGGGGTTTAGGATTTAGGGTTTAGGGTTTAGGGTTGAGGTCAAGCTTTATGGACCAGAGACCCCAACATGATAAGCTTGTTGCTTACTGCCCACCCTTAGCCGTGTCAGGAAAGGACGCTGGGTTTGAGTCTGGGTCAAAGAGGTAGCTCTTGCTGCAACTTAAAACCTTGTACAAAAAATCGGCCCAAGCTTCGATCTTCAACTCCGAACCAAAGCCGTAAACCCTTAGGGTTTAATGTCGGAACCTGATTGAAAACCTTGAGCCTTTATTAGGGTTTTTGATTATGCATCCTAATCATGGGCCCCGGGTTTCTTAATCAGGTTCCCGAAGCCATGTTCAACCCTGGAGGGTAGTGAATTTGCTTGGGCAAGAGCAGACAAGGCCGCTGAGGCAAGGCCCCACAGAGTTTGCATAGAACCGCATTATAGCATCCCAAACAGACCACATTAAATGATGATGCGTTAAATAGCCTTTATTTTTCAACCCAACAGTCAAAGAGGGCTCTTGTGGGATCAGGCGCGCGCTAGAGGGCTCTTGTGGGATAAGATTCTAGCTGCAGCTCGAGGAGTCGTGAAGCCTGAACAACTGGGCAAATTGTAGTTTGGTCTTTGTATATACACACTGATTTATTGATATTCTTATGTATATATGACTGTATGTAAGTAGCTCAATCTGCGCTGTGTGTAAATATTTGTTCGTTCAGGAACCCCAAGAACAGTGTTGGTAATTATTCCGGCCTCACAGTAAAGAGCCCGTAAGTATCCGTAAACCAAGCCCTGGAATCGAAGGAACCTTGTTCTCATCATTCAGGCCCCCTATATAATAAGATCCCTTAAGGCCCTAAGCCTCAGACCCTCATCCCTCAACTCTAAATCGTGACCCCAAAACCCTAAGCCCTCAAAGCCCTACAACCTTATTCCTTAAACCCCGAAACACCCTAAACCCAAAGCCTAAAACCGTCATCCCAGAGCCCTGCGCCCAATCTCACAACCCCTTCTATAGCCCTAAACCCCTAAACCCAAAGCCCGAAACCCGGAAAGCCGTACACCTTCGACGGAGAAGGCACTTGGCCTCCTTGGCGGCCTGGGTGCGGCGTCCAAGCAGTTTCCGTCGTAGGGGGGTTTGGGTTTTAGGGACTTTGGGATTGAGGGTTCAGGGATTTGGATTTGAGAGAGGGCTGCCATGGGGCCTGGGCCTTTGAATATGGTAGTTTATGGTGTTTTTACAACAATGCTACACAGTTATGCTGAAGTTCTGTAGGGTTTAGGGTCGAGGGCTTGATGGTATTTAGGGTCTCAGTTTCAGGGTTTAGGGTTTGAGGTTTCAGGAATTTGGGAATTAGGGTGTAGGGTTTCAGGGTCTAGGGTTTGAGGTTTCAGGGTTCAGAGATGGAACGGTTGAGTGCTTAGGGCATTTGGGTTTTCCGGGGTTCTGGGCTTCAGGGGTGCAGGGTTTGGCTTTTGTTTGCAATTTCTCGGGGGTTTCGGACTTGGAACAACTCTATGGTAAACTACCAATAGCTAACCCTTGAAAATCACCATCATGATAACCCGTAGTCTGGCCCGCTTCGTCCCCCCACGCCCCTAGGTACCCGTATTCCGAGTGTTGGGGGATGTTCCGGTTTGGAGCTTGGGGTTCAGGGTGTAGGGTCTTTAGGGGTTTGAGGGTATTGGGTTTCAGGTTTCAGGGTTTAGGGTTTAGGGTTTGAGGGTATTGGGTTTCAGGGTTCAGAGATTGAGGGTTGAGGGCATTCGGGTGCTTTTAGGTTTAGGGCTACATTGAAGGGTTAGGGCTCCGGCATCCCAGGGTCTTTCGAGAAGGTGGCTCAGAGTTCATGAGAAAACTTCCAGTGTACACTCCATCCCTATATAAAGGTCCTTGTATCACTTCTTCAGGGGCACAGGGTCTATTGATCAGGGGTCTACACTATTCTTCTATTCGTGCGGTGGAGTTCAGCACTTGACATGTTCGGAAGGCTTTGGGGCCACTTGTCCTAGGCTCGATGATGTTCGATGAGTGGGACCTGCACATGCACAGGGTGCAAGTTCGGGCTGTGTGGTTTATAATTCAAGAGCTTGGGAGCCAGCCGCAGTTTATTACCAGTCAGTGACACTAGTGCTGCTACCTCCTACTTGTTAGCACTGCCCCCTGAAAAAATCGCCAGGTCGTCTGCGGAGTGCAGACACATCCGCTTCTGTCCGCTGGCCTGTGGCTTGGCAAGCATGGAACTCTGTGGGTTGAGGGTTTACTTGAAGGATCATGGGACTTAGTACGTGGGGTTATCAGTACCCTAAGTGAGGTTATAAGTAACTATAAGTATAGTTACCTTAATTGTACCCCTAGTTACTAAGACCCATGATCCTTTAAGTAGGGTGTTGTCAAGGACCGGTTGTGAAGGTGAGAAGGAGGACTAACAGCAATGGTACTCTGAGCAAGTGCTACAAACCCGTAACATAAATAGCAGTTATCAGTCATGATCATCGTACAAGCACTCGCCGTTCCGAGAATAGCATGGTCGGAATAATCCCACATGCGCAATATTTTGAACATATCACTAAACCATGTGCTTTGTAGCTTTTGGTTCCATGATGGACCTGCGGCTGATGCCTTGCGGCACGTGTTGCTCTTGCAGTTTCCGGCGATTGTTGCATTCACGTGGCGAAACTGCTAGTGCTGTTTGGTGAGGTTCGTGTCGTGTACCTGCAGATTCCCAGATGCTGTGTGAAAGCAGGGTCTGGATTTTCGGCTGTCGGGATTTCGTTGGGGTCTGGGGCCTCAGCAAAAACAAAGATCATCCCTAACATAGGGGCTTAAGTAGTTACCAATACTAGTTTCGGGTTTCCTTGTTATAAATTTTATATGTATATATATATATATATTACAACGGTCCCCCAAAACCCTATTCTAATTGTTAAGGCCCCTACATATGTAAACCCTAAATTCCCATCCCCAGACGGTAGATCGACCCTTCTGAAACCTTCAACCCGAAGCCTTTAGCCGAGGTTTTGCTACCGCCTTAGGCCCGCTTTTAAGCCTCACTTTATTTAAGGCTCCCTTTAGCCCACTTCCTGCTATCCGCCTACCGCAAGCTAGCATAGGGGCCTCAATAAACAACCAAAGCTATTGTGGGTGTTCCTTAATATGGTTATGGTATAATAGCTCCGAAACCTTATTCTAATGGTGAAGGCCCCTGTACTATAATGCCCTTATAGATCCCTTACAGTAACCCCTTAGGTTATAGTATGATGGGCCCAGCCCACTTCCTGCTAGAGGAAAATAAAAACAGGTGGGCTGGCGGCCGCAATCAGATGACCAAGGCTGGATCTCGTTTGAGGTTCATTTTGGGTTCAGGGCTCAGGGAGTTTATGGTTTCGGGTTTTGGGCCTCGGTTTTGGGTTTTAGGGTTTAGGTGTTCAGGGTTTTGGGCCCAGCGTTTTTAGATCTCGGGCTTTGGGGTTGAGGGCTTTTTCGGCTACGGAGTTTCAGAGCTCCGTTCATGAGGCCACGGATTTCCACCCTGTACCAAGCCCGAGGTTATGATTTCCCATCAGCTTGAATACCGTGGCTTCGGAACAAAGAGAGTTACTTCATTCATGCCTTCCTGCATTCATTCGGGCATCACTTCATTCCTGCTTTCCTTCACGCATTCATTAACCTTTAATGGTTTGTTCGTTCATTCCTGGTTGGAGGGTTCCCTTGCGCGAAACTCTATTTAATGGAAGCGGGAAGCCGGGAAGCCACAAAGCCCCCCAAATTTCAAGCCCCCAAATCCAAACTCCAACCCCTAACCCCCAATCCCAAACCCTAAACCCTAAACCCTAAACCTGTAAATCCCCAAATGCTAAACCCCCAGAACCCAAACAACTGAAGCCCCGAGACATGTCTTAACTCGAAGCTCTGGCTGCAGAGGAGGACAGGCCTCATTTGGCAGAGCCACGACGCTGCCAACCTCCCTCTTAAGCCCTCTTATCGGATTTAATATAGGGGCCTTAGTAATTAGAAAAGGGGTTTGGGGCCCCTCACGCTGTAATTATATAATGCCGTCTTATCGGATGTTTTATTGTCGGGAGCTATTGCGATTTAGCAGCAAGCTAAACCATAATCCCTAAGCCTACACTGGCGCGGGGATTCAGGGCTATGCGGTACGAACCATCGACCTGCCAAACATCACGCCTTTACTAGAGTAAAGAAGCTATGACAACGGTTAAGGGGTTAGGGCAAACCCATAGCAAACAAACATGAAGAGATTGCGAAGATTGCGTTTTGTAGGGCTTAGGGTAACGAGGCAAAGAGACTTAAGAGGTATCATAGGCGGAACAACAAAGACTATAAAGCTGTCCACTTTCCGAACCCCCTGGCTGTGACCTAGATTTGGCTTGTGCTTGAGCCATGGCAAATGGACGGCGGGTAGACCACAACATCGATCTCGTGATCGAGGCATCTCGGCTCACGGCGCTTATAGGACAACATGATCTTGGGGCTCCATTGCTAGGGTTTGTGGGCGAAGGCGTGGCATGTGGGTTTAAGGGCCTGGGTGTAGGTTGATGATCATCATCTTAGGGGTTTAGGGTGCCTATTAAATTTGTTATTGCTCAAATACAGCTAGGTTGTTCCATACAGTCTAGTGTCTCGAGCTCGGGTACTTGTGTCTGTTTTACAGGTGTGCTTGCTGGAAGACACAGCCCAAGCCCTCAACACTAAACCGCAAACTCCGAGGCCCTAAACCCTGAAGCCTAAACCCCAAAGCCAAAGCCCTCAACGACTCTACCCTAAACCCCTGAGCGCCTAAACCCCTCAACCCCTAAACGCCCCCCCCCCCCCGAAGCGCAAAGGATTGGAAGCACTATGGAGTTGGTGACAACATCTGGAGCGAGAAGGTGGGTCCTCTCGACGGGTTCCACTCTCAACTGCGACTGGGTAGGGCTTTGGGACATTTTACATATTTCCCTTATTGGGCTTAAGAGGATCTTACTTACTAATATTTTTCAAAGGCTTTGAAAGCCCCACCTAGGCGAGTTTATCCATTTGGGAGATCCTTTGAAGACGAGCATGCAAACGCATACATCTATGTCTTCTGTGGGTCTGGCGCCTCCGAGTGGTCCTGCGAACAAGTGGACTTTGACATCATCTGCTGGGATGTGCCTGACTCTGTTTCTGTTAAGGCTTTAGAGTTTGCAGATAAGGTTTAAGTTTCTCCAGACCTTTCTACCATAGTTCTGTGTTTTGTTCTTTTCGTCACCTAGCGCCCCAAACCCAAAACCCTATAAACCCTAAACCCTAAACCACTAAACCCTAAACCCTAAACCCTATAAACCCTCACTATAAACCCTAAACCCTAAACCTATAAACCCTGGAAGCCCTAAAGCAGAAGCCCAAGAGCAAAGAGCAGGTGCAGTCGCTTCCTCGTGGGATGGTGGCTAGGATGCCCAGTAGTACCCTTATTCCCTTTTTGTAGTCCTAGGTTCCTTATAAAGTTACCCAAACCCTAAACTACCCTAAACCCAAAACCCTAAACCCTTCTTAGGTTACTGGGTATCCTAGGTGGTGGCCTCCGGTCCGGAAGACTTTAGCCAGGAATCTGACAACTGGGGCAACGACTTCTGCCCCAACCCGGATGCTGGGCTCTTACGGTTTAAGGGTTAAGGTTTAGGGTTTAGGGTTTAGGGTCTTGTTAAGGAGCTTCTAGTTTAAGTTACCATAATCGGGATCTATAGTGAAATGGTTATTTCAGCACGGTAACTTAAACTAAATTCCTTAGGCCCTCAACCCTTATATAGACAACCCCTAAAGGAACCCTAAATATTGGTAACTTAGATTAAACCCCTTAAACCCTTCACGGAACCCTTATAGATCCCTATCATTGTAGCTTAAGCTAGGTCCCATAAACAAGAGCCCCTATAGATCCCTTAAAGGAAACATCATATACTCTCCCGAATCCTAACCTACATACCTATACTATCCTAAAACCGAGTACTTAATTATTGGGTCTTTTGGACCCTTGGGGAAACCTTGTAGATCCCCAGAACGAAGAATCCCAGGATGCGCAAGACCTGCGCTTCCGCGCAAGGATCAGCCTTCCGAGTCCCCCTGAGACGATGCCGGCAGGTCCGCCGTTCGGGGGCTTAGGGTTTAGGGCTCAGGGTGTAGGGTTTAGGGTTTTAGGGGTTTAGGTTTTTAGGGGTTTAGGGTTTATAGAAATTGGTTAGGGTTCATTTCCGGAGTTTTGTGCGGGTTTTGACTGGGCTTCGCCTTTTGCTTTTGCTGGGTGGTTGCTCTGGTGGGTCTTTTTGAGCGGCTCGCTCTGCTCGGTATTCGCATCTTTGCGTTTGCCCTTCAAAACTTTGCTTGTGTCCCAGACAGAGCCACCAAGATCCGGCAGTGCAATTTGTTACGCCCGGTGCTTGCTCAGAAGGAGCCACCAAGAGTCAGCAGTACGATCCAGCAGTAGGTTTCGTCTGTTAAACAATTTCTATTTATCCTGGGCTTGAGGATTTAGGGTTTAGGGTTTATAGGGTTTATAGGGTTTTTAGGGTTTGGGGGTTTAGGGGTTTAGGGTTTAGGGTTTGGGGGGCTTCCTTAAGGGTCCTTGTAAGGGTACTCTCAGGGTCCCTTTAAGGCTTCCCCTGTATGGTATAGTTGTAATAAGGGGCCTTAAGGAACATTATATGAGCTTCTATAGTATCCTAGGTTAGGTTCCTGAGAGGTGCCCTTTTGCCCTTTTCAGTTTAAGGGTCCCTCAAAAAAAAAACGAAGACTAGGGAAAGGGTACCGTAGTTATGAAGGGGTTACTCAGGAGCCTAGTGGTCTTGTATTGTGAATCCACCAGACCGGGCCTTCAAGAGCACTCACCAAGAGTCCCCCACTATGGAAGCTGATAGATGGGAAGCAAGAGATGCGAATGACTCCTGTCTGCGATATACTTAGAAACCCGACAACCCACGCCCCCAAATCCCGAAACCCCTAAACGCCTAAACCCTAACACCATCTAACGCTTAAACTGTAAACCACTGAACCCGAAACCTGATACCAGGTCGCTATGTAGAGCCCGAAACCCTAAAACCCTGAACCCTGGCACCAGGTCTTTGCGACATAGACCTTTCACAGAGGCTGACGCAAGTGGCTTTCCGCTTCTCCACAGGCCCCTGCCTTTTTGCAGACAAGAGGGTGCTCGTGGCCAGGTCCCAGTGCCTCTCTTTGCACATATAGGGGCTTCAATCATGAGAATTTTGGGTTCCTTTTCTAAGGGGTCTCTTGGGACTACTATAAGGGATCTACAATAGGGTTTTATGGTATAGGGGCTTAAACAATGACCTATACTTTTTTGGGGTCAGACCACCCTAAATCATTATAGGCCCCACAAGAGCCTAATATAGGGGCCTATAAGGCCTACAATGATTAGTTATACTTTTTTGGGGGGGAGGGTTCCTTATGTGTACTTGTAGTATGATGGGCCACCAAAAAGCCGATTGTAATTATTGAGGCCCCAACGTGCGAAAACCCTATTATACATCCCTTAAAGAACCCTTCAAAAGCCCTTAAAGAACCCCTCAAAACCCTGTTCTAATTACTAAGTCCCCTATAAGGCTGCTGTTTGGAGGCGACTCTAGGGTACCTACAAAGGGGTCTCCTTAAGGGGTCCTCGAGTTTGGATATTCGAATCATAGTAAGGATCCCAGAGGTATAGTTCATGGTTCGAAGGTGTGGGGGTTCTCAGAGCTAGGGGCTCGCCTTTGTGGGGTCCCTCGGATAAGGATCTATACACCTTTTTGGGGTTGTATGACAGGGTCCCACAGGGTTTTCGCTGCAGTGTTGGTCTGTGGCTTGGGGCACTTACAGCGTCACCAAACCTTTCTTCTGCATTTTGGAAGTGTTGAGTGCATGCTGAGAACTCTTGTCCTTTAATGCGAGGACCTGATCGTTCCCGACGCCTCGCAGCCCTAGGCCCTAAACCAGGACCCCAATTTCCGAAACCCCCTAAACCCTGAACCCCAGGTACTTCAAGCAGATGTTTGCGGAAGCCAACTGGGTTGAAGGTCGCACGAACCTTGGTCAACTTTTTTGCAGCCTGTTTGCTGTTTGTGTTTGGGCTTTCCTCAAACCCTAGGAGATTGCTCGTGGGTACCTTGCCTATAGTCTCCAGTGTAGTTTTTGGAATCACCAGTTTTATCTTTAGGATCCTAAAAGGCAGCCCGCACAAGGAACTGCGATGCAGGTTAGAGTGCACATCCTGCACAGGGACCATGCTGCCCCTAAACCCCTTTTCTCCTGAATGCTCTGCCCCGTAAGCCCCTTACTCCTGAATGCTCTGCCCTATAAGCTCGAGGAGTGCTATATACACCCTATAGACCCTACACCCTTGAAGCCCCAAACCCTATCAGCCCTCTAGACCCTAACTCCCCCTACCCAGGAATCCTTTGTGGAGCCCCTAATCTCAGTGGTTCAAGACCCAACATCTTTTCAAGTTTTCGCCTCTTACCGGGTAATCAATTCTGAAAGTTTCAGTTGTTTTCGCCATGGGTATTTGGGAAGTAACCCTAAGGGTCCATGTACCCGTATAGCACATACTTTGGGCCCAATGTACCGACATATGGAGTACCTTAAGGCCAATGTATATACTATATGAGTACATGGACCCTTAGGGTAAGTAATTGGGACCCAGGAACGAGGTCGACTGCCAAAGCGACCCAACGATGGACCGGCGCTCTGTCCATGCTTTGCTCCTCTTCCTGATGCCCCGTGGCTGCTTTTGAGGGTCTTAGGGTTTTAGGGCATTTTAGTGGAATTTCAGGCTTTTAGGTGTCGGGCGTTCGAGGGTTTTTCGGTGTTTAAATTTCGGGCTTGACGTTTCGGTTTCAAGGATTGTTGAGGGTTTAACGGCTTACGGCTTAAGAGTTTAACCTCACTTCGGGAGCACGGTTTGAGCGTTTAGGGCTTTAGGGGTTGAGGCGGTTTTGGGCTTTAGGGTTTGAGGGTTTGTGGTTCAGAGCTTCCCCGGGACAAGGAGCTGAAGAACTCTTGGCCCTAAACCTAGAACCCTAGGTTTTACAACCTCTACTTGGAGGTTCATGGGTAGTTATAAGTAGGGGTATCGGTATAAGTAGGGTAACTGTACTTATAACCCATATTAGGGGACTTATAACCCCACTTATAACTACCCATGAACCTCCAAGTAACCCTGAAGCCCTCAAATAACACCAACGCCTGAAACTCGAAACTCCAAGTCCCAAACCCTAAAGCCCAAACCCCATAAGCCCAAACCTTGAGCCCTACGCTTGAAATCCGCAACCCTTCGGTACCATAATTGTGGTTCCTTTAAGGGTTCCTGCAGAGTCGTTTCTTTAGAAGGGATTCTATGAAGTTTTTAGTCGTGTGAGGGTTTAGGGTTCTTGAATACGTCTGACCGTCGAACCCTACACCCGAAATCCTAAACCGTACATTCCCCAGCCTCTTGCTGGGGCCGTTCTCACCCGTAACTGGGTGTTCAGACAATGTCCGGCAGCTTTATTAGGTCAAGCAGTGGTTTGAGCTTACGGAGAATGGTCGAATACAGACCCGATCTGGGCTGTCGAGGGCTCCGCCACAGCTGGGGTGCATGTCTATCCCTGCTGCAGGAAGATAGGCAGTCAAACATCGTCAGCAGTGTGTCTTCAAAAGTACAGTGGCAAATCGTCCCCCCGGTCTTGGTGGCTCTCTCCTGGCCTCTTCTTAGCCGTAACAATCGTACAGCCGGGTCTTGGCGGCTTTCTCTGCTCCACCCTCGTCGTAACAGATCCCTGAATCACCTTAATCTTAATTCACCTTTGCCATGGACACTGGACGCAACCTGAAGCTTTGAACAATGTCAGCTCGCAGAAATGCGATGAATCCTGCCAAACGGACGATTCTACGACTTCTGTGGACGACATGTTGCTTGCTGCGCTGCTCGGGCTGGGTGTCTTCGCAGCATTGGCGTGCCCACAGGTGGCAGCAGTGGCAGCGGCCGCAAAAAACCCAAGACCCCAAATCTTACATGTACTAAACCCAATCCCGAAACCTTAAACCGAAAACCTTACCTAAACCCGAAGCGTTACACCCTTAAACCTTAAGCCAAGGTCCAACAGAGTCATGCCCCCCGAGGATCCCGAGGAGGGGGTTGAGAGGGCCTGAAACAAGCGTTGCTCAATGGCTTTGAGAGTTGAGGGCTCAGGTTTCTAGTTTTGCGGTTCCGTGAAAGGTTCCGTGAAGGAGGGCTTGAGGGTGCCTTGAGGGTTCTTTTTAAAATGCCAGGGCTTGCTTTTAGTAAAGGGTTCCTTTAAGAGGCTTCTTTGTATGAGTTCCTTCTACGGTAGGCTGTTTAGGTAAAGGTGAGGCTTTGTTGGTGGGGATGAGGGTTTTGGTTTGAGGTTCAGGGTTTAAGGGGTTGGGTTTGAGGGTTTACGGTTTAAGGATGCACGGCGCCATTGTTTGTGCATTTTTGAATCATTCATGTTAAGGTGAGGCTTGCGGGCCGTAGGTTTGGCATATTGCCAGTCAAGCACAAGCTGCAAAACCCGAGTGTCATACATAGCTCCAAAGCCAAGCCCTCACCCCAATCACCCGGAACGCCTAAAACCCTGAACTCCTAAGCCCAGCACCTTAAACCCAAACCCCCGAAACTGCACACCCTAAACTGCCAGAGCGTCGGTAAGCCCTAAATCTCTGATCTTGGAGCCTTCAACCCCAGCCCCTTAAACCCTAAACCATCTTTGAGGACTACGACTACTACTTTGCTCTGCGAAGGCTGGCAGACCGTTGCCTTGTGAAGACTTTGGCCCTTTGGACGGAAGAGGACTGGGCGTGGGATTATTTCGGGTTGTATTGGGTTGTATAGGGTAATTTATGGGTGAGGGGTTTAGAGTCTTCTGCGATTTTGGGTGTAGGGTTTAGGGCTTCATACAGAATTAGGGTTGAATGCCTACATTAGGGTGCATATAGGATATAGGATTCAGAGTTTAGGGCTATTGTGCAACTCCCAAGACCCAAACCCTTACAACCTTCAACGCTACCAGACCCCCAATCTGACTGCCATAAGCCACCCCAAGTCTCTAAGCCCGCATTTAAGCCCCGCAACCGCAAACAAGTATCCATGCTGTTTACAACACTAGGAACATCAACCCAGCCATACACAGACAGTATAAATTATAAGAATGTAGAAAACCCGCAAGCCAAGACAACACACCAAAGCTTCTTAACCCGGGCCCCTTTTCTAGGAACCCCTTTCACGTCTTACCCTGGGTTGCCAAAAGCCATAATTGATGACTACTGGGACCCCTTTAAGGTTATGGAGCTTCGGTATTTTTAACGAATAGTCTTATCCCAAGCCCATGAGCTTTGAAGCTCCACGAGGAAAGGGGCCATTTACTGCCCTAAACCCTAAACCCCATGCAAACCCCCAAACCCTAAACCCCAGACCCCAAACCCCCTGAACCCTAAACTGTAACAAACTAAACCCTAAACCCTAAACCCTAAACCCTAAACCCCAAGCCCAGGCGTTTGGCTGAGGCGAGGTAGCGTAGTTTCCTTTTCGAAGGTCCGCTGCCGGCCCCTCTGACCTGACCCCAGGCGTGGCCTCGTGAAGAGTGCCCGCGACTCCGCGGTCTGGAGGACCGCCACTGCTGCTGGTAAACAATCGCTGCCGTTTGATTGGCCGATTGGGTGCCGGCATCAGGTGCATGGGAGGCACCGCATTGTGGTACTTGTGGCTTTGTTTTTCTGGTTACAGCTGCAGTGCGGGGAAAGCCTACTGTTTTGAGCTCCGCGAAGACGGAGCCTGCCTGGCATCGGCGACTGCGAAGGAGGCGGACGCGTTCCAGGACGATCTTGCGTGGAGTGGCTGCCGGTTGGATCCGAGTGGAGCCGGCGGTCGAAGACAGAGCCAGGAGAGTGATCGAGCAACATCACTCTTCGGGGCCCTCGAGGAGTACAATGCCTCCTTCCTGGAAGTGCCAGGCCTGCAATGCACAATGCAAGGCCTCGGCGGAGTACTGTGCTCAATGCGGGAAGCATTGGTCGTACAGGTCCTACGCTGGGGGATGGCCACAGAACAGGGCGCCCTCACCGCGCAAGAGGAACCAGTCGCCCAGATCCCGAGGCAAGGGCAAAGGCAAAGATGCCAAGGATGGGACGGGCAAAGGAAGCAAGCAGGGCCGCGAGCGTCCACAGCCGCCAGAGCCGGGCCCTTCCGCGCCCTTGCTCTCTGCATTGCCGACGGCCCCCGCTGGGGTGCCGATAGCTGCTCCCAAAGCTTCCTCGGCGCCTTCCAGCAGCTCCTCCGTCGAGAAGCAGAACTTGGAGGCGCTCCTCAAGAGCTTGCGGTCTACGAAGTGCCAGGTCTCAGCCGAGACCCAGGCACTGATGGACTCACTGCAATCCGACCAGCGCCAGCTGGAAGCCAAGACACTGCACCGGGCCGTCTCGCAGAAGACGGCGGCGAAGAAGGAGCTGGAGAAAGTGCGTTCAGCTCGCTTCGCTTACGTGGAGCAGTGGGCACGTTACGTGTCAGGCCTGGCGGAGCTGTTAAAGCAACAGCTAACGGAGCAGGAGACAACGTTGGCAAGCTACGACGAGCGGGAGGAGCAATGGGCCACAGCGCTGGCCAAGGCCAGCGCCGAGCTGAGCAAGCTCACGGAAGAGCTTCCGCCCGATACCCAGGCGCACGAGTCGGTCGAGGCCGAGTTTGTGGAAGCGCACGAGGTGTCGGAGATGATGGTGGATGCCGCTATCGCGGCAGAGCAGGAAACTCTGCGACAGCGTGCTGCCCAGGCAGCGCAGAACCAGGGTCTCAGGGACTTGCTGGACGGTGTCACTCAACGGGCACAGGAGCAGGTGGAGAGGTACCAGCGGGATGGATCCCGCACGCCCCGCCGCAAGACGAGCAAGCCGGACCAGATCGACTTGACCAAGGCCGGGGACGAGGCCAGGGACATGGACGAGGAGCAGAAGAACATGGAAGACGCCGCAGGCAAGGCGTCCCCTGGTGGGGCCCGTTGATGAGCTTTACAGGACTCAGCGGGCCGATGTATTTCCGCCCTTGGGGCGTTGATTCTTGGTGTGAAATGGAGCACACCGTATGGTACGACAGCGACTTTGTCAACCCGTGGTGGGCGGCCTTTTATGGCATCCATCACTCCTTTACGTGCAGGTTGGAGGAGCTTGAGCTGTTTGGGGATATTGCAGCTTTAGACCCCCGACTGGAAACCTCAGCAAAGGAGGCGTGGGCGATGTTTTCTGGTTTCAGCGATGACGGCCTTACAAGCTCTGAACAGGAGCCCCATGACCTCGCGGTTCTATGCACAGAGCAACATGAGAGCTGTGACCCGACATCTGGCGCAACACCAGGCCTTGGAAACAGACTGGTTGCGGTTCCAGTCTTCCAGGAGACCGGAGCTCACATGGCTACAGGAGCTCCTGGTCCTGATGCGGCAGGAGCGCGATCGTCTGTTTCCCGGGAAGGTGTTTCGAGCCGATGCCTGAGGCCAGCTATTCTGAACGGCAATGTACAGGACTGTACAGCGGGTTCAGGTAGGGCGTGTGCAAAGCCGAGTCGCTCTTGTTTGCATCGCAGCCTCTATTCACACAAGCTGCGCCCCCGTGTCTGTTTTTGGGACGACAGCCAAGGGACGGCCAGCTTCAATGGTTGGGCGAAACAGCATGCCTTGCTGCAGACCAGTCTTTTTGCCTACCTCCCCGATTGCAAGGACGGTACCTGTCGAGCCTTGGTCGGACCTCGCCCCCTTGGGGACCTCACGGCACTCTGCCGGCCTCCACGGCCCCTTCCTAGGGTCAATAGTGAGCGTTGCAAGGACGGTTCCCTGTCGAACCTTGGCGCTACACTATCAGCTGCGGCTGATGCGAGTGTGCTGCACCTGAGCACCCACCTCCGGGGAAAGACCCAACCATGGGATGAACAACTGTTTGCAGAAGGGCGATTCACGGCCGACTCTGTGCTAAGCCTTAGCGCCCCATTCTTCCCCAGGACAGCACCGGCAAGCAATCCGGAGGCGCGACGGCCTCTAGCCAAGCCTACTGTTACGGACCTGCACATCATTCTTGCTTCGCAGGTTCAGATTGGGCCACCTTGGCTTGCAGGCCCTTTCTTGCATGCGAAGGCCCGAGACCTTCCTAGACTAGGAGTGCCGCCAACTGACGACAAGGAAGACCCTCGATACACGATCTTCGAATATCGTAGTGACACCATTGTCCGAAGGGCCCTGCCGGAATGGTCACCTACTGAGTACGTGGCCCACGCTGTTCGACAGGTTTCTTACAGAGTGCTGTCAGCGTTCTTCCTTGAGGTGCCGATCCCTGGTTATCCTTGCCCTCAGCTTTTGTTGACACCGGTAGGGTTGCCAGCTGGACACCGCACATTACCCGTTGACTTGCGTGCAATCCAAGGGATGCTGCATGTTGTACGGACGCCCTGTGCGACTGGGGTGGCAACACTTTGGCCCTTGCTAAGGGAAAAAGGCATTGCCTCCTCCGACCTTGCGGAGGTTGCAACTCGACAGGATCGCCTCCTGTTCAGAGATCAGACTGGACAAGGCCAGCAATTGATAAGCCCTCTCCCTGAACAGCAGTGGCTGGAAGTGATCTCGGCACATGAACCTGATGAGCAACCCTTCATCACCGAATATTTTGGGGGAGGGCCTCTTGTCTTCAGGGTTCCGCGGCCACTCCCGCCCCTTGAGCTCCCGCGCGGGGCTTCTGTAGCCGAGGTTGAGGCTATACGTGCGGCGGAACATGTCAACGAGGCAGCCTCTTCCACTGTCACCACTACACTCATGCAGGTTCCTTGGCAGGGGCCAACGCACGTGCCAGTTGGCACGCCTCCGGTGCAGCTACCTCCTGGTGCCGAGCCTCCTGCACTGCTTCTGAGACAGGCTGGACCTGAGTTCAAGCCAGTAGGGGTTGATTCGGATCCTGAGGCTTTGACCGTGTTTCCAGGATTCCTCAACAATGACAAGTTTCAGCAGGCTAGTGTTGATGCCTACTCGTGGGGCACAGACGAGGGAGAGGCTCGACCCTCGTTCACTGTATTTGATGTCATACGGCATGCCACCACCATGCCACGACCACGAGAGAGTACACTTGCTGCGATTATCAGCTCTGCCGTCCTCTCGGCACCCTTCCAGGTTGGAGCCGTTCAGGTCTTGATGAAAGGGGTGAACAACCTTCCGTCGCCGCAGCTGGTCCTTTACCAGCTTCACCTCCCTGCTGGTTATGTGCCTATTCCATGGGACCTTAGGCTTGTAGGTGGCGAAATCCACACAGTCAACCACAGGCCTCAGGAACCCTTCGTCGATGCGGTGGCTAGACTGAGGGCTGTGCTCCCTGATACGGACGGGCAACGCATCTGTGACCCCCTTGAGGCTGGGCACTTTGCGGCAATCGATGCAGTTGGCATTGTGGGCGCGGTGCTGACACCTGTTCTTACAGAGGTGCAGCATTTTGTTGTTGAGCCCGCCTTCACGGGCGTTGCGGGGATAGCTTTGACTGACCCATGGGGGGCATTTCCGACACCCTTCTTTTGGCCGGTCGATGGGCCTCAGTCAACCTCTTCCACCACCTCTACGACCTCCACGAGCCCGGTCCCTGGTGTCAGCTCTTTCCGGTTCACCATGCTTTGTGGCCCCTACACACACAGTGCGGTTGTCCAAGCTCCCTGCTTACAGGCCGACGCCATTCTTGAAAGACTGGTACTCGAGGTCCTGGCACAGGGCTATCCAAATGCTGACCGAGGACCGCTTTTCATGATGATGGCAGCTGGGCAGC